AGCTCATGAAAAGTAGGTTCTCATTCGTCAAATTCCAAATCGAGTAGGTACTTCAACGTGAAATAACCAAAAAATGAAGCACTTTTCGGGGAAAACTTATGAATACTTTTTTAAAGTGTTTGAAAAAACCTTTCATTTTGTTTTGAAGGAAAGTTCCTAGCATCAAAACTAAGTGAGTTACGCTCAAAATAAAGTTGGTTCTTTTTTTTTGGTAAAAAAAATTGAGGAAATCACCCCCTAATTAGCACCCTAATTGTAATTAAGCGTTACCGCTTTACAGTTTACTTTATTTATGTATGGTTGATATGATCTGTAAGTTTGACCGGAGCAAAAGTGGTTAGTTTTGAAAAAAATTAAGTTTTGAAGTAAAAAAAATTTTGAAATTTTGAACGTATCTTTTTTCACCCCCGAGAAGGGGCGGCATTCACCCCCCAAGTAAAAGCAACCCTGGGCTCAAAGTTCAACTTTGAAGTGGAGGGTAAGTAGAACCCGAGGTAGAACCTAAATCCAAATTTTCATGCGATTCGGTGGAGACGCGGAAAATTACACAGTATCGCCGTATTCCACGTTCATTTACTGGCCTAAATCTTTAAACAAAAAGGACGAATTTGACCCCCTTGTATCGCTTTTGGGTAGTGAATGCCGATTTTCTTTTGAAGCACTAGAGAATAGAATAGAAATAAGCAATTTAGAAATTGAAACCTTTTTTGTGGGAGAGGCAATTGAATTTTCTAATCTGGAAGGGCGAATTTCACCCTCATACGCGTCGCTGACTGAGTTGTGAACAGTAAATAAATCTTTAAAAAAAGACGAATTTCATCCCCTTATACTTGCTTAGTGAATGCCAATACTGTTTTGAGGCACTAAAGATTAATGGTAACCCTGAAAGCAATTAAAAAATTGAAGCTTTTTTTTGTGGGATCGGTAGGTAATTGAATTTGTTTAAATTGCAAAGGCGAATTTCACCCCTTACACGGTCGTTGATGACTGAATTTGTGCATAGTAAGTACATCTTCAAACGAAAATGACAAATTTCGTCCCCTTATAGGTACGGTCGGTGCGCGACGCTTCGTCGGGGCGCATTTCGGTGGCGGGACCAGGGTGCACCTGGCGATCGCTCACTGAATTTGTGGGTTGTAAATAAATCTTTAACCAAAAAGGACAAATTTCACCCCCATACGGTTGCTAAGTGAATGCCAATTTATGTTGCAGCACTAGAGAGTAGGTATAGCCATAACTCTCTGAAAGCAATCAAAAATTGAAACCATTTTTGTGCGAGTGGTAAATGAATTTGCTGATGGGGAGGAACCGGAAGTGCGGGTTTTATCCCCTTAGACTTTTTGCGAAAAAAAATCCTCATTTGCGTTCCAATTTTATTTTTGTTCACGCACCGTAAGATATGAGACGTTTTACCCTTGCAGGCTCCGTAATTATTTAGGTACAAATTTCAAAAGTAAGCAGCGAACTCAAAAATTTGAAATTTTTTGCAAAATAATTCAACATAACTTTACATGTCAGAAAAATATGCGATTATTTTGAATTTCACTTCGCAAAGGCAACAAGTGTTGATGACGTGGCAGCGTTTGCGTTATCTTTAACACATGTAGTGCAGGTAACAACAGCAGGTTCAGGTTTCTAATTAATAATATTCGAATTGAAAACATTGGGAACATTTTTTCACAATGAATGTTAATTTCTGGGACCTAAGTCACCGATTTGCTGATGGTAGATAGATATACAAATTGGTTTAATTTAATTACCCTGACTATTACATTGAGTCATAATTAAAAACTCACCCCTAAGCCTTATCAATTAATTCCTTCCAAGGGTACAACCATTAAAAATTCCCAATGAAAGGATACGATGCACCTGCACTTCACTACCGCACTGTTCGAAATTTGGACCAATACTGCCTATCGGGAATTTTGAGGTAGACGCGTTAAAAAGTCTGCGGATTTGATAAGCACCTTACCGGCTAGAAGTCACTTCGCGCAGACGCGCTTATCTTATTATTACTCAAAAGTGGTATTTATTCAAGAGACCATATGCGTTTTAAGTACAGCAAATTCAAAAGAATTTTAATCTTTATCGGAGAGTAAATGAAAATGCGCCCTTGGAAACTTCCTTCTCCTCTTTGAAGCGAATTTCAACCCTTTAGTTAGACTGTGACTAAGTGAATGCCAATATTTTTGGTAACAAAAAGAGGTCATTCTACCTACCAATTAAGGAAATTAGCAATGGAAAAGTATTTAGTGCGAGTAGGTAAATGCATTTCTTAAGTACAAACTAAATAAATAATAAATTTACTAAATACACTTTTGAAAAAATGGACGAATTTTGCCCCTTTATAGCTATCAAAAATGCAACCATGAATTTTTTAGGTTGCAATGGATGGAAACATTCGGCTCCTTGTACAATCACTTTCTTTGGTAATGCTAGAGAATAATTATAACCCTCTGAAAGCAATTAGAAATTGAAACCCGTTTAATGCTAGATAAATTTGTTTATACTGGAAGCCTGGAAGGGCTGGTTTCGTCTCCTTAGACCTTTTGCGAAAAGAAGCCTCATTTGCGGCCCAATTTTATTTTTGCCCACGCAGCGCAAGGTATGAATTAAACGTTTGAACCTTGCATCGGGCTTCGTATTTATGTAGATACAAATTTCAAAAGTAAGCGGCGAACTCAAAAATTTCAATTTTTTGGAAAATAATTCAATATACTACATGTCAGAAAAATATGCGGTCATTTTGAAATAATTTTGTCTGTATTTTACTTCGCACGGCCACAAGTGTTGATTGATGACGTGGCGGCTCGCGTTATCTCTAACACATGTTGCAGGTAACAAAAGCGAGTTTCTAATTTTATTCCAATTTAATATTCCGATTGATAAGAATTTTATAAAATTAGGTACTTGCGAGGTGTATTTACTATTTAGTTTCCACATTTGATCAATAATTACTTTTTTTATTTCTGAGTTACCCAAAAATTTGGAACACTTTTTGACAATGAACGCCAATTTCTGGGTATTACGGACCTGAGACTCCGATTTAAAAAACCAAATCTATTAAAGCAGCAACCATAATTTTGCATTTTCGGTTGCTGATGGTGGATACAAATTAGTTACAAGCATCAAAGGTAATTTTTGTATGGTAGCTGCATTTAATAACTTTGATTTTTACATTGCGCCCTAATTAAACTTAATAAAAACATACCCTTAGCCTTAAATTCATGGTCTCGCCTAATTTCCATTGGAAGGGTACGATGCGCTTTCACTTCACTAGCCCATTGTTCGAACGTTGGACCAATACTGCCTAATGGACATTGGGAATTTTGAGGTAGACGAATTAAAAGTCGCGGATTTGATAAGTACCTTACCGGAACACTTTGATAGAGGTCAATTTCGCGCGCAGACGCGCTTATCTAATTCTTACTGAAAAGTGGAATTTATTCACAAATATAAAAACCATATGCGTTTTAAATAGGTACAGCAAATCCAAATGTGTAGGTACAACCATTCAATTTTGATCTTTAGCGGGAGTAAACCGAAATGCTCCCTCGGGGACATTCTTCTTCCTTTTCAAATTGTAAGGGAGGATTTCAACCCTTTACACTGTGGTTGAGTAAATGTCTTTTTGGCAACAATTACCAAAAACGACTGTATTTTTGCGTGATTTTGCCAATTTTTTTTGGAGCACTGATCGTTACCCTTTGAAAGCCATTAAAAATTGAAACTTTTTTGTGGGAGTTGCAATTGAATTTTTTATGCTGGCAAGGGCCAATTTCACCCAGTTATACGGTCGCAGACTGAATTTGTGCATAGTAATCTTCACAAAAAAATGACAAATTTCACCCCCTTATATACACTAGAGATAGAATTAGAAATTGAAATCTTTTTTGCGGGTGTAGTAAATGACTCTTTAAGTTTCAAGGGCGAATTTCGCGGCCTTATACGGTAGCGGACTGAATGCCCATTTCTCTTGCAACACCATAGATACAGGGTCCTGCAACAGTGCGTCGTTCTTCCCTAGCTCATAGCTGGTAAAAAATAAACAAAAAACCTTTCGTCCAATGTCACCTATATGCTGCGCCTCTACAGAAATTATTTTTGAATGTACAGGGTGTCCCATTTTTGCGGTCAATACGCGGCGGATTGTTTAAATCCAACACCCTTTATATTTTTGGCTGATTCGATGTCATTTTTTAACCTCTGCATGAAAACCTATTCACTATTTGGTTTTTTGTCAATGTTGCCAAATTTTTAATTTTTTTCTGAATAATTCTTTGCCACCCCCACCTTGATAAATCGTAGCGCCCTGGAAAATGCCCACGTGCAGTCAATTATTGTAGCGTGTATTTCTTATGAACATGATCTAACCGATAATGTTAATCAGCCTTAAGAAACATACGCTATAATTAGTCGCTCTGCGAGTGGACCGTTATGTGACCGATAACGTGAACCGGCCTTTCTTCCTCTTTATATGGAAGATTTTCCCTGTGGATTTTCCTTTGCTGTAATGTACCTAAACTGGAATTTCCTTGGAAACAGACATACAATTGTCATAAATGTCTGTCAGGTTGTGAAATGTCTCCTAATGTAAAAAAAACTAAAGAACAAGTGGTAAGTTTTTAGTTTAGTGCACTCATTTCTTCACTCTCGCCTACTCATCTATCCTTTGAGACTTTTCATTACTCATAATTTGATATATTCAATGCGGATTACGAGTGTCACGTTAAAATTATCTCTTCCAGGAATTCCCTTGGACAGCTCCAATTGACGCTCGATTTCCAAACGCCAACATCACTGGATACTGCTTTAGAATGTTTTACGATTACCAACGGTGTATAGGATTATTTAGTGTAGATCACGAGCCCTGCGAGTACTTTAAGAAGGTATACACGTCACTATGCCCGCACGCGTGGGTAAAGCGATGGAACGACCAAATCGAGGACCACACGTTTCCGCGCGATTTACCTGCGGATCTGAAAAAGAAACTGAACGGCTAGTGTACAAATTATCGTTTTATTATCCTTTTTAACCATACAAAAATATACAAGAGATTTGAATGTCGTTTCAAATAAAAAAAAAAACTGGTTCTTAAGAGCGAAAAAAAAGACAAACTAAAACCTAAAATATGGCAACAAGTAAAGTAGAAAATAAGTTACTTGAGATCATGCACAGTGCATATATTGACATTCTTTATCCTTACATGTTCCTAAAACGTCATACGGACACAGTGTCATTAACGGGTCGTTAATACCGATTCCATCTCTGTAAATAAACAATTTGAAAACGTCTGAGCTTGGTGATGGTGGCCTAAGTGTGTGGTATTGTTTACAAAATAAATTTCGGTCAAGTCCAATGAGCAATTTGTCTGTCCGTGCAAGTGATGCGACTTCATTAAGACAACAATAGTCATTTACACAAAAGTCAGGAAAATGACACATTACTGGCGAGGAAATATTGAAGTGCGAGAGTACTTTAATTTCCGAGTCAGTAATGTCATTTTACTGACGAGTTTTGTATTAAATTTTACCGGAAATCGTATTTTAATATAACATTTCAATTTGTATATAAAACTTTTGATTAATGTAAATCTGTCACTTGTCAGTGATGACAGGAGTCATTATAGACATTAGAAATGTCACAAATGCGGCCGGTAAAGTGACAGGTGCGGCCAGTAAAGTGACAAGCGGCAGCAAACGTAGTCTGCTCTGCCTCTGTCATGGAAACTCAAATTTCCTGACAGAAAGTAAGCATGAAAATGAAGGTTTCAGGACGATTTCGGGTAAAATGTTGTCAAAATGATCTGCAATTTATCTAAGTATTTAGATAAGTCTATAGCCAAATCAAAATTATGTTTGTAAACAACTTTAACACACTTAAAAATCAAACACAAGTCGAAACGCGTTTAATTTACTTTGTGCACCTGTTATCCAGTGGAGATATATACTTTGGCATCGCATCGGGTTCCTTAACAAACACCTTTGTAACGTCGTTAGGCTCTAACAATTCCTTTTCAATTTCGATCGTAGGCGTGGGAATTGGCACGGAATTTTGTACTATACTTTTAGTCGTCGATTTTGGCGTTGACGTAACGGGAACGGTAACAGGCGCGGGCGCCTTAACAATTTTATATGTACTATAAGCACGAACCTCAAAACAGTCCATTATCGTTTACATTAAATACAAACCGTTGATCGATGACTTGCTTCTCCCTGACGAGCTGCTGCACCAAATTCGTAAAGTTCTCGTGGGACGTCGCCAGTTTAATTCGCAACTTTTGCAGTTCGTGGAGTTGTTTTTTTACTTCGACTTCGTACTGACTTCTTACATTACTAGCTTGATTTATTTTATGCAAAAGTACGCCCAGTGAGCGGTACTTACCTTTCATCTGTAATCTGTTAACAAATGCTCAACACACAAATTATAGTTTACAATTAAATCAAATTTAGAATCGTTTAACAGTTAGAATATGGCAACTTATTAACAGTGTACCCCAAGATCGTAATATACATGTGCTATTTTTTACATTTTTTGATTTCATCCATACAATTTAATTATGAAAATTTATGTAAAACGAAACAAAAATGCGAAAGAATCTGTTGCGCTTGGAAAAAGAATTTTGTTTCAGCGTGTGACGTCACTTGACCTATTCGCATACGATGCCTATGCGTTCGCTCAGCACGTGTACGGTAGTAGGTACCACAGTAGCGGCCATAATCGATTAGGTCAAATGACGTCACAGGCAGTAAAGACCACTACTGAATACGTCATTTTTGATGAATTTTTTTCAAGTTTATTAGTTGATCTATAATTTAATGTGATTAGATTAAAGCGTGTTTTTATTTTGGTGCGTCAGAAATTTCAAAATTATTTTTAATGCTACAGAACACACTTTTTTGTTTGGAACTTATTTTTTTTATTAAATATACTTGCACATATATTATATATTTTCCCTATTTTTTAAGGAATAAAATTTCTAGCGCCACATAGATCTATGGAGATGTTGCATCCGCCATTCACACATGCATTACCCCCTTAGTACACCTCATTAACATTACGATCCTGCATCTGATTTAATCTTTGTGCACAACATGATATTAAACATTGCTATGGAGTGGGCCAAATTTCCTTTTTCTAAATCACAATTGTTTCTCAACAATTATAATACATAATGATGGAAGGAACAGTTTTTAATAGATTTTTTTTAATTCGAGTACAATTTTTTTCAAAATTCCTATACCACTTCTAAACCATAGGCGTGCTGCATTCCAGTGGCGTATCAAACTTGCGTTTTTTAAAAATGGAACACCCCATATTTTATTGCAGATTTGGAAAGTACTGGAAAAGTACTTATTTTTTTATGTAATGTGTTATACTTACCCTTAACTTTTAACGATTTCGCTCCAATTTTGGCAGTTTTTCGAATTTTTTTTAGAGAAATTAAATCGCGCCGGCGACTAAGTTTTGACTTGAAGCACAAGTTAAAACCTATTCCACTGTTACAGTTTTTTTATGTACTTTACCGAAAAAATAATAAAATTTTTGATTGACCTTTGCCGCATATTTTTTTAAATTTCAAAAACAAAAATAGCTCTGGATTGCCGAAACAAACAAACAAAACCACACATTCCATAAGCAAATTTCAAAGAAAAAAAATCGAAACGCCAATTTGTAAAAAAAACGGGTCTTTTCCGATCCCAAGCTTGCCATGATAAAACAAAAGATGTTCAATTGTTACAATTAAAAGTAAAGTGTCGGCAGATATTATTGTTTTTTAATCGAAGCAGCATTATTACCATCCATTATTACGCCAATGCAAACCCGCACGCCATGGGAATTGCACGTCAGCAGCAAAAATAGTCACTCTACCACTCGATGACAAATGGTTTTCCAACACGATGGAGCTCCTGCACGACCGTGCCGTTCATGAACCTCTCGATGCAAAGGGGTCCAGTAAGGTGACCGCCAAACCACACTCTCCTTGATTTCTTCCTACATCAAGAATGAGGTGTACACGATGGTAGCAACTACTGCCGAGGACATGCGCCTCTCCATAGTGATGTCTAAGGCTTACGAATCCAGGTTGCGGTCATGCCACCAACAGGAAGGTTGTCACTTCCTGTGATTGTGAGTCATTTTCATTTTTACCACCCGCATGTTAGTAAGGGGGATATTGAGTTGTAAGTTTGATACGCCACTGGAATAGCGCACGCCCCTTGATACTTTGACATATGCCGTCATCAAAAATATATTTTAAAAACATGGCGACGACCTAGACTTTTTCTCGTGAATATATGAGGAAATTTTTACTGAAGAGATTCTTGTGAAATAGGAAACCTTAAGGTAACCTTACAACAATAAAGAAAAAAGATAAAAAGTAAATTTTGGGTTCTTGAAGACATTTTGAAGAAAATAATAAAGAAACTTTGGCAAAATAAAAGCCAAATTTCAAGGAAATGTTGATACTTGCTTCGATACAATGAGAAAATTTTTTTGAAAAATTACAAAAAATAAGAGGAAACATGCCCCTGGGGGTTAACCCACGTAGCCTATCTTCCCTAAGTCATAATCAAGGGATGGGACACTTCTTGAATATATTTAGTAAATTCATTTAAATCCAATAAATACGTTAAATCCCATTAAATAGGTACACTTAAAACCCATTAATTACACAAATTCAATTAAGTACTAATACATGTACATCCTAACTAAATTTTCCTAAATAGAGAAATATGAAAATATTCGCTCGCTTAAAAGATACGTGGAAATATTTTAATAAAAAAAAAAGATATGATAAATTTTCTTTTCAAAATATATAGGTAACATTAGAAACTGCAAAAAATGTACATTTTGAGTTTTTTTAAATTTTTTGCAAAATCTGCTGTTCAAATATGTAATTCTTGAATTTCAATAGTTATATTTTTGGAAAGAGAAGTGAATATGCTTATCTCTTTTTAGAATAAAATATACAGGGTGTTCCACTAAAAAATGACCTTAGGTCCAATACCTTTTCTCTGGCCCGGTATACTAATTTTGGAAATTATAATTATAAAGAAACTTTTGTAATATGTACTTTTTTTCTGTATCTTCTAACTAAGAAAATATAGCCATTCTAAAATTGACAATTTTTCCACCCACCACATGACTTTTATCTGAAAAATCCGCCGTGCTTCAGTTATGTCACAGTGAAAATGTAACGTTACACCTGCTCTCTTTATTTTTCATGCGTATAATATAACTTGCACTTTGTTTACACTTTAATTTTGTTTTTTTTTTTGAGATATGAACTTAATTATTTTGTTGTTGTTTAGTTATGTTAAGATTTTGAGTTTTTGTTGTGTTTCTTTCTTTTTCTTATTACACTAAATAATTGCGCGTTAACTATTTAATTGTCTTGTAATTGTCCTGTAATTGGAATGTCTGTTCTGTGGGGCAATAAATCTCTAATTATTAAGAGCACATAACATCCTGAATTGTTTTTTTGATGGCACTAAGAATTACGGAGATATCCTATATCCAAGTGTCAAGTGGGACACTCTGTACCTACTTATTATACCTATATGCACCTGCAATGGCCAATTTCATGAGCAATTGCGATGTTATTTTGCTTCTTTTCACTGCATTTGTATTCAATAACTCTGTACTGAATGAAATAAATGGATTTAAAAAGCGTAAGTATGTAATATTCTAAATGATTGTAAATACATTTAAATACACAAATGTATTTATAAACAAGTGTGCCAATTTTTAGGAGTGTCCCATCCCTCGTTCATAATCTATCTGGTACCAAATTTGAGCGTTTTTAAATTATTGTGCAAACGGACGGACGGGCGTTATTGATAAAGTAGCTACAAACAAGTTAATTAATTGCTAACATATATTTATAACTGAATGGTAAACATAGTACAGAAACGGAGAATGTGCAAAGTACATAATTTGTGGCAATGCTTCAATGACGAAAGAAGAGCTTGTAATGAATACAGGATGATTCACGTAGCCCGTTCGTTAGAAGTTTTTAAACTTGCAGTTGAAATAGAAACTATAAATTTCATTTGCAGCCAAAATCGAACATTGCGAATTGAAATAAAATCATTTCAAGATGGCGTCGCTTCCGTAAATATTGAAAGTGGCGCCATCTTGGTTTTCTTAAATATAAGTATACCAATTTCTATTTTTGTCTAAATGCGCTATTTTATTCTGAATTCAACGCAATAAGATTTAAGTACTTACCTATCTGTCATAGTTTTTGACATTTTTGTTAATTTTTTTCTAAAAATGTTAAAATGCGGGGTTTATTTAAAAATTCATTCCCTTAAACCGTTCAAGATATCGAATCCTTAAAGTCCAAGGAATTTTATGAGTCTCATCCGAACATCTTAAAAAAGTTTCCAGTGCTGCTGCGATTTTTCAAAGTTAGCAATCCAAAAATGTCAAAAAATAAAAAAAATATGCTTATTTTTCCTTAGGTGTAGTAGGCTGTGGAAGCAATCGTTTGGAATGTCCTTCGAATCAAATGTCAAACAGTGTTTTCTTAATGAAAAATTAATTGGATTTTCACTATGGATCATTATCCACATTGTGGAATAACTCAAAAACTACGAGATATAGGAGCACCGAATGTTAATAAAGGTGACTCTAAAATTTAATCTAAATTCAGAAATAGTCATTGCAATTTGAAAATCTGAAGTTTGACATTTTTTTATCGATAAACTTTGAAAAATCGAAAATCGCAGCAACCCTGGAAACTTTCGAGTGTCACTCAAAAGACTTTAAGGATTCAATTAAGAAAAATGGTGAATGGTTTAAGAGATATGAATTTTTGAATGGACCATTACATCTTCAATTTTTAGAGCAAAATTCACATATACCTATGTCAAAAACTATGGCAGATAGGTAGGTACTTAAATCTTCATTGCGTTGAATTCAGAATAAAATAGCGCATTTAGAAAAATGTTTCTATTTTAAAAAACCAAGATGGCGGTACTTCCCGTATTTACGGAAGCGGCGCCATCTAGGAATGATTTTATTTCAATTCCCAATGGTTGAAGTTGTATACACTTACCTTTAATTAGCAGAACAGAAAATCCAATTGGTGGAAAAGCAAAACAAGGTTGAGCAAGAGGACCTTAAAATATTATCAGCTTTTACATCAAGTGACAATTTCGGAAGTGAGAAATAGTTGTAATTGGACTAGAAAGTAAATTACTTCAGACTCACAATTTACCTTTTGAATACTAATATTGAATAATAAGAAAACTCTGTATTTTTTGTTTATATTTTGGACCCTTTTGTTTCCCCCTCTACACATCATCAAAATTTTTGTCAGTACCTACAACAATGAGGGTAAAATTTAAATGAATGGAGAATGGATGGCGCTTATCCCTCCACAACACAACTTCTATCAAAATGTCTTACGAAATAAAGTAGATTTGGTCCACTCTACATTAACATAATAATCAAACGCTATTTTACAATAAAAAAATTCCCATTTCAATTCTAATACATACCTTCCATTTTTTCTAATTTGTAATTCGTTGAGAGTCTTCTGCAGGTTAGTACTTGACTGAGTATTCTTACGTTCCTGAACACTTTTGGTAACTTTAATAATTGGACTATTGTTCGATGACACTTTTGGCACCTTCTTAACAACGGGCGTTTGCTCGCGCTTACTTTCGGACACCCTTTGCGAGGACCTCCTCAGTTTGTTCTTCTTCCTCGCGTTAATCAGACGTTGCTTCAATTGTCTATACTCTAACTGTTGAGATCGAGGCAGCAGTTTCAGAACGGATTTGTCCATGAGAGAGTCGTCCGATTTATTTAGACTGGTTTCCTTCTTTTTCACCTTCTCCTCGGCCTCGGCCCTTTGCTGTTTCAAAAATTGCGTAACGGTGGCCTTGATAGAATTGTCGTACCCTTCGATACCGTCGGAATCCGAATCGTTCACATTTATAATCAACGGTTTTATAATCATATGGTTAGCTACGCAAGCTTGGCCGGCCGCCATCTTCTTTACCACAGGAAGCTCCTTCGTCGCGTTGGTGGCGGTCGGAAATTTAGTGGCCAATGATTTCGACATATTCGCCAATAACATTGCGCGTAATATGTCGACATCTTCGTCCATTACTTCACCTTCGGCGGTCTTTTCAAGATTCGTTTCGACCTGTTGCACCGTATCACAATTGTCGTTACTTTCACTAATTTGTTTAAGGGAATTAAGTTCGTTATCGTTATTTCGATCGTTTTCTTTATCGATGTCGCCAGGTTCTTGCTTCAAATTGGGATTTAATTTAGCATTTTTTTTCTTCCTTTGTTCATGCTTTTCCATTACCACCGACTTTAACGCGTCCATTCTGAGTTGGTAAAGCTCGTGATCTTCGAAGTTTTCTTTGATCAAGTCCTTATCAAGATTAACGATAGGGTTTGATTCCGACTCGTTTTTCTCTAATATCTCAACCTTTGTCGAGTGCAACGCTATGTTACGTAACGCATTTTCGTCATCCGAGCCTGGTTCGATGAAACCTTTGAGACGTGTTCGCAAACTATTATGTAACTCTTGAGGGCTTTCCCTCTTTAAAGCGTCTTTTAGCTGTTTCGCGTAATTCGGATCGACGTAGTCGGTATCGCTATCGGAAAGTATTTCGATGGGAACTCTGCGACGGTGTCGCATGTGAAAATTTCTACGTTTGAGATCGCGAATGACTGCCCGTTTTCTTTTATGTTTCCACTGTTTATTATTATTATGAGACGGAACCGTCTCGTCGTCATAAGAATTTCTTCTATAGTAATCATTACTGCTTAGGCTGCTGCTCAAACAAACGGCACTTAAAAGTTCGGGGGGAGATACAGACTTACCGCAATCCTCAGGTGAGCCTGGAAACATGGAGCTATCGGATACATCTTCCAAATCGTCTATTATTTCGCCTTCTTCCCTTTCTTCTCCATTCTCTGTAAGGGGAATCATTTCCATCTTTTTTAAAAGTTAACTATTTATAGGTAAAAAGCACTGTTTCCCAAATTTCAACGTGATTCACCATTTTATTTTTCGCAACTTTGTAGTGTCAACTGTCAAGTGTCAAACAAGACACTTTTAGATGTGTTGCACATTGACTCCCTCGGTACTGCGCAAACGCAAGCGCGCTAAAATTTGAATTTGCTGCAAGGCGCTCGAATTAATAAAGCCTTCGGTCATCAGTGAATTCCAGTTACATTATAGCCCCAACTTGAAAGCAACCGTCACGATCCTTTACAGCATAATATGGAATAAACAACAAGGATTGTAACGTTATTAGGTATTTATTATAATCAAAACCCTTCTACCATCATGGTGTACTGAAAATAAATGAACATATTCTACCAGATAAGTCACTATAAACCAAGCTACTAAACTATTGTGCTCCATTTTTTCCTATCTCGCGTTAACTTCTTAAGGCGCAGATACACTAGCATGTTACTTGCGACAATCTCCCGGGAGAAACTTGCACATATGTATTTACACTGTGAGCAATAAGTGTCGCGATAAACTGTCAGGCAAGTTGAGCCATTGCTAATAATAATAATAATATTTTTATTCCATGGACCGTGGTACGTATAGGACATGTCAAATACACATATAATTACTAAGAGACAAATAATATCACAGTTAAGCATGTTCAAGGAACTCTTTGATATTGTAAAAACAGTGATTATTTAAGTATAGAAGTAATCTCTTATTAAAGTTATTTAGTGTATTGCAGCATTTAAGTTGTTCGGGTTCGGGTAATTTGTTAAACATTTTTACTCCCAGTACAAAGGGTGAGCTCAAGCCAATGTTATTTGGTGTGCGGAATTCTGTAAAAGTCGTTGTCGATTATGATTATGAATGCCTTTGTTTTTATTTAATGTATGTGAGCATCTGAAAATTAGTTTGCATGTTCCTAAAATGTATAAGTTGGTTAAAGATAAAATGTTGAATTGTTTGAAAATATTCCTGCATGTATGAATTTTTGGAACATTCGCAATCGTCCTAACAATGCGTTTTTTGTGCAACAAGAACTTCGTGAGAGTAAGTAGATGTGCCCCACAAACATATGCCGTATCGAAGGATAGGGCCCACCAGAGCATGGTAAATGTTTATTAATTGCGCAAGTGTTATAACATTTTTTAGATTTCTAAACGGATAATTTAAGGAGCTCAGCCTAGCAGCCAGCTTCTCACAGTGCTTTTTCCAATTTATATTGTGGTCAATATGTGGTCCCAAAAATTTGGTTTCGTGTACATGCTGCACCTCTTCACCCTGTATTTTTAAAGTCAATATATTTGTTGGTTTTTGAAAGTTATGAAATCTAACAAAATTAGTCTTCCCTCCATACCAGCGAATTGTTGCTGAACCAGTTGTGTAGTTTGTCAAGGTTCTCGTTGCATAATTTTTCGAGTTGTGTCTCATTCTTATTTGAAAGCAATAGGGAGGTATCGTCCGCGTATAGGAAGTGGGCTATACCGACACCAAGGTGAGGAGAAATGTCGTTGATGTAGAAGAGAAATAATCTGGGACCCAGCACCGAACCCTGGGGAACACCAATGTCTGTTAATTTTTTCTCAGATTGAAATGTTTAAGTATATGTCACTTCTTTTTTCTTCTTACTGAGAATTCCACCAACTCCCTTTACCCTTTGCTAATACTTCATTTCTGTAGCTTCGTAGTCTGGTTTTTTGTGATTCGTTCAGCACCCAACTCTCTCTACCGTAGGTCAATATTAGTCTGTAACGTTATTGCTGTAAGTAGATTTAATTAACTATTTCTAATTAACTGTTACAGTACTTACCGAAACAGTTTCTTCCTATCGCCTTTGGCATATTCTAGGAATTCCTCAAGGAATTCATAGCCATGTAGGTACTTGAAATGTAGATAACAAAATTCATCTTGATAACATGGCATTAACATTTACCTACTTACAATAGGTAAGCAGGTAAACTAAATTTTCGTCAGAACCCCAACAAGGCCCTCTTGATGTCGGACAATCCTTGGTCAGTGATGATTGTAGGTAGCGAGTTCTCCGTTACAGCTTGAGTGGTTTTTGTATTAAGTCCAATTCGGCGCTCCCACGAGCTTTTCAACGGGGTCTGGCAGTTTCCCCTTACCATCAGAAGGCTACTTGAAACTGAGAGGCGCTCGGTAACCCAGAGTTTGCTGTCCAATGACCAAGTTCCCCCTTGGCCAGGAAGTCCTCTCGGCGTCAGCTCTTCTACCCTGACTTGGATTTGGTTCGCCATACTGTCATTCGGAAATCTCATCAGAGTTCCATTGGGAGCGTTGAGATCGTTACCAGGGGACACACTAGGAGGTAGACGAACGGCTAGTCAGGTATCGCTAAAAACTGAGGAAAGTTTTCGTGGTCGAGACCAACGATACCGAGCTTATGCTCTAAGTTACTGGAAGCATCATGACTGCTTCTTCCAGAACTTACGTCGCTTTCCCCTGACCTTAACCCCCCAAAATACTCGCATTACAAAAGGAAAATTCAACTTTTTAAGGGAGCACGTTTTAAGGGAGAGCCTCAAGAACGTAGCACTGGGGGTCACAGCGCACAAACATCTTATGATTATTATTAAGTAATAAATCCACGCTCTTCCCATTCATAAAAATATTGGGGAGGTCGTAGATTTATTTATTAATAATTTTATCCCAAACAAGAGACGAATCTTCTCATCAAAATACCTATCGTATGGTAATTGTAGGAACAGGAACGCTTAATATTTCATTTCCTGGTTTTAGCATTTTTTTAGGGAAGATTAGAGGGCCACTATCACGGGAGTCCTTAGGTCTGAACATTTTTAGAGAGAATGTAACACCAGGGGGTCTGAGCCATCCCCTGATCGCTAACGTACGAAAATGTTACGATAGGTGTAGGAAAATGAACACTGAATTTTCATTTCCTGGGGAGGTATTCCAGACACCTCCTGTTCATCATTTTCCCCCAAAATATTTAATAGTTTTAGCACTTACCTACATCATAACGTTTAAAAAAGGACCACGAACCATAACACCGCAAGTCTGTGGGGTAGGGAAAGGAAGGTCTTTGATAAACCAGGTGTCAAATTCTTGACAGAATAGCTTCCTAGCTGAAACCAAAAATTGCCAACATTTGATGAAATTTCGCATTGTACAAGGTGCATTTTTTACGCATGCATTTTGTGTGCTTTTATTAGAGGGACCTACCATCCAAATTTAGTTAAAATTGCTCCATAAATAAGTAAGTTGGATGTTGCACATGCGCAACACTATTTTTTGCGCATGCATTTTGTTAGCTTTTATTAAAAGGACCTACCATCTAAATTTCGTTAAAATTGTTCCATAAATAAGAAATTTGCATTTCTGCGCATGCGCAACACGATTTTTGCGCATGCATTTTGTTTGCTTTTATTAGGGGGACCTACCATCCAAATTTCGTTAAAATTGCTCCATAAATAAGAAAGTTGGATGTTGCACATGCGCAACTCAATTTTTTGCGCATGCATTTTGTTTTCTTTTATTAGGAGGACCTACCATCCAAATTTCGTTTTAATTGTTCCATAAATAAGATAATTGCATTTCTGCGCATACGCAACACGATTTTTGCGCATGAATTTTGTTTGCTTTTATTAAAGGGACTTACCATAGAAATTTCGTTTAAATTGCTTCAGAAACAAGATCGTTGCGTTTTGCACATATGCAACACACTTTTTTGACTTTGACAATTTTTTTCTCCTTTTTTTGATAATATAACCCGGCCCAATTTTTTGTAGGTTGTACACAGGAAAATAAGGTCTTCCAAATAATAGAATAAAAATTTTAGGTTGCTATTTGAAAAAAAAAGTTCGATGCCGTTACGGCGCTCCAAAATTTTTTTTCAAAAATCCGGCCCGTTATTTTTCTGTTCGGTATGCCTAAAACATATATACAAAATTTCAACAAAATCCGTCGAGCCGTTTTCTCAGAAAATTGCCAACAAACGTACGTACGTACGTACGTACGTACATACAGACGGAAAAAAATTTTATTCTTTAAAAGTTGCTTAAAATGGTCTAAAACGTCGACATTTGATGAAATTTTGAAATGTTCAAAAAACGCCTATCGCAATAGCTACCTAGCACATGCTAGGAAGCTAAAAATTGTCATATGGGTGCCCTTAGGGCTGAAGGGGGGGTTCCTTACGCTCGGACCTCACGGGAATATGGGAAAATTCCACATTTCACGATTTAGGGCAACTTTCGTTTGTTTGGGTCGTATTTTGGTTCCATGAAATTGCTTTGTTTACGTTTTGGATTAAATGACACGGACATTCGCCCACGTATGATGGATGTATGTAAATAAAGGGGAAGCAGAGAAGTTATTTTCGCCATTTATGTGTGAAAACGTTTTGCAATAGCAACAGTTTTTAGATCTTGGGAGGCAAATTTGCCATCGCTTTAGAATTCCGGGAATAACTAGTAAACAGAAAGCCGGATGCATTTGATTGGCCCATTTTTTGAAACGGGCGAATCGTAGCGAGTCTTGCAGCTGTGACGTCATGATCACTATCTTCGTCACGTGACTAACTATGTCGTTACTGCCGTTCCCGGAGTGTTGTATTTTTTCGGTTTGCTGCTAATTTACGACGTGCGATATTAAAATAAACTTAAAAAAGTCAAATAAAAGACGGGAACAATTCTGGCACATAGTTCGTTTCGGTTCATCATACCTAAATCGGTGTTTAAACTATTAAACTACAAAAAGTTATGGCGTCCCTTCTCCTTTTCGTACGAATTTAAATCGGCGTTTGCGTGTAGGATCTCGGGACGCGACCACGTAAATTTTGCTTTTGTTGTTAAAATCAACGCTTAAAGTAACAAAAACCGGCGGGGAAGTGTTCACAAATCGGTCTTTTCGATGTCGTGTTAAATGTTATCGCAAGAACAAGAAGATGGCGTTCTATTTTAAATTCGTTTGTTTGCGTTTAAAACTTAACGTTTTGTGCACCTTTTTTGAATCAAGACGCCTAAGATTTCATTGATATGTTGATGTGGGGTAAGTTTGTAGACCTTTAAAAGTTTTGTGGTGACGGTTACGATAATGTTCACCAGACGAAGTGCTTCATTAGCGCTACCCAAAGACGGGTGTCTGATAGCACTGTCGAGGTGTACACATCACCGTGAGTCGACGTACGGACCTCGACGGTGCTATCACACAGTAACTCGCGAGAAAAACCTTGCTAGAGTATTCCTGTCTTTGGGTAGCGCTTATGAAGCGCTTCGTCTGGTGAACGTAAGCACTGCTTGCACTAGCCTTAACATATGACGTACCTTAGTATCGACGGTTTATAATAAAACAACTTGCTGTAGTATATTAGTTTCCAATTTATTTATCAGGCACGATAGGGCTCTGTCATTTTGCTACCCTTCATATTAATCCGTTGAAGTAGGTTATGTCAGCTGCGTTCAATTCGATGTTTAATACAGATCAATGATCACTGACTTGCAGAACGCATTCATACTACGATTGTGACGATTTCATTGTATATCCTGGTACTTCCGGGAAGACTGTCAATTCTGCGTTACTTCGTTAAACTTCATTCTGTGCGCTAGACCTACATTTCTTAGCTGTACAAACAGTTCCACTGCGTCAGTTTGACGAAACCTTTACCCGTGGCAGCACTACCTACACAATTCCAATTTCAAATCGTAAATTTCAAATTAAAACGAATCTTACCAACTTTACTACTTTCATTTGGCTTGGTGCCAAGCAATGGGTACCGATCTCCACTGTAAATACCCTCGTTGACATCTCTTCTCTGACATCTGCCATCTTTACGAACGAGGATAGCTAGTCATAAGCACACCAAGTAAAAAGACACTCTCGTCGTAAACATTTTACAAAATGCGACAGGGGGGGCCCTTATTGGTTACCACGATTCGCATCCCAATTCCTTTCAGTCATTGCGGCACTTCTTCCACAATCTCTCTTGATTTTCTTTTTTTTTTTTACGTTTATTGATCCCATACACGAAAACAAAAGTAAGAGATACGTCGATTAAATTATTGGAAAAAGCTAGCTATTGATACAGAAAATCAGATATATTATAGTAACAATTTTGGATTAACATGTGCTTTAATCTATCTTTGAAGCTCGCTTTTGTTGGTGCATCTATTATCTCCTTGGGCAGTTTGTTATAGATCCTAATCGTCATACACTTAAAACTGGCATCAGTTAGCCTTAATCGATGTTGTGGTAATAGTAACTTCTTGCCGAATCTTGTACATCTCCCGTGAATGGCTAGGTTTGTACGAAATTTGTTGAGGTTCCCTCTGACATAGTTAGCCGCCTCATATATATACAGAGAGGGTAATGTCATTATGCATAGCTCTTGAAATAATGGTTTGCAGGATACCCCACTTTTGGCACCCACCAAGCATCTTATAATTTGTTTTTGACTAACAAAGACACCCTTCTTATCACTTGCACAGTTGCACTTCAACAGGTGATTTTTTTCAAAGTAAACATGCATTAAGAATCAGATTTATAGTATATTAGTATAAACAATGAACTGTGTGTTAGAGGTTATTGAAATTTTACCATTGGCGCACGATACAGTGAGTGTATGGGGTGTATCTTGCATTGGCGTACCTGTTGAAAGTAATTTTTGTGGCAGGGTCTTTCTACGTTTTGTATCATATTCATATACCTACTTATATAATGATAATTGATAATAATATATATTTTCTCATATTGCCATTGATTATATTTTACTTTTCAGTTCTTGACGAACGAGGAGTGCCGGGGAAGTGTACAGTGTTTCATCATTACTTTGGTTGATATGGTTCTTCCCAGGACAGACTGAATTATTGAGGCTAAAGGGTAAGTGTCCATTCCTTTTTATTGCCAGTGTTTATTGCTCAATTTCTTTAAGAAAACGGTCAAACAAACAAACGCTCGACTACTGTCCCAGTCAAAATTTTCAATTGTTTTAAACTATACATATTGTAATATCATTTCTAACGTAAATCTTCTCTTTGTTACAGATTGCAGAAAGGCGGCCTCATAAGGTAGGATTTTTCCTTTTATGCATGGTGTATTGCATGTCATTTTTTGTACGGGGGGAAAAGTGAATAGTGAATATCAACCAGAAGGAAGACCAATAATTGTTCTGAGCATGAGTTTCGTGTGTATAGCTATGAAAATTGAAACAGTTTTCCCTGTCTGTCATTCTAGTGACGTACGATTGACTGCCATGATTCTTAGGGTAGACTTTTTCGCAGCGTCCATCTGTTTCCTTCATATTGGCGAGTGTGACTGTGAATTCACAGCCATACCAGCTCTGTGATGCAAACAGATTTGCTCTACGAATAAGCCTAAAGAATCATTGGTGTCGTTTTTTCCGTTCCCAATTGCTGAGGGACTTTGAGGATTATTACATTTTCATTTATTATTGCACGAAGTTCATCTTAGAGGAAGGTAAGTGCGTGGTCATAATATAATAATGGATTACTTCTAAAAACTTTATGTGGTTACCTAGCTAATCTCATCGATTGTTACAGGCGCCATATCGACGTCGCTCAACCTGCTGGTGAGGATTATGCTGACCGCCAGTGCCGGATAAGTATTCCTGAGGCAGGGTTTACCTACGAAAGCTCCCCTCCACCCCTCCCCTTATCAAAAATTTCAGTTCCAACTTTTACCTTCTAAGACTGTCAACAAACAATTGAACAAGAAACTAAATTTTTTGGTCCTCTGATTGATTATTGAGATTATTGTTTGTAGCATCCAGTTATTTTGAAATTATACTTGCTTGCCACACTCTGTGCGGTACTTTTTAATGGTCAATAAGAAGTTACAGATATTTCCAAATTTTCAAAATACCATATTTACGAGAACATTCGTATTACTTGGAGTCCCTCCGGGTTTCCAGGGCTGTAGCCCCCATTGTCTCCCTCTTAATCCAGCGCTGCCTACGACCTCTGCGATGCATCAGCTCGAATTCAAGCCTGCTTTCGACTCAGTTCAACGATTATATCGACATGGATCACGCAAACGAGGTGAGTTTTTCACTGTCCATAACAGAAACACAAAACTTCATATAATTTTTTTTTAGTTATTGGTAATGGCGTTCGAGGAGAATCCTCCATGCTAGTAGCTCGAGGTGTATACCTACTACACCTACTTACAATAGGTAAACAGGTAAGCTAAATTATGTTCAATTATAACGTTTGGGTTATGTGTATTATTTACTTACCCCTTACAATTGCCAATTCTACCCAAATTCAAATTTTAGCGCGCTTGCGGTTGCGCAATATTGAAGGAGTCAATGTGCAACACATCTGCAAGTTAGTAATTTTATAGGGGAATTAATTTTTTCTCATTAAAGGCCGCATTCAATGCGAAGACTAGGGTCATTGTATATACAGGGTGGTAACTTGCGTAACGCATTATATGGATTTCAATGTAAAATTCATAACATGTGATTATTGGCTCCCCAAATTATTTTAGAGCAAACATGTATTAAGGTTTTTTGTAGAAAAATTTTTTTGCTAAAAAAGCACGTGCTGCTGTACAACACTCACCAGTGACAGTTCGTCTAAGACTCTGACGTCACCACTGTCAGTCATACTTAGGGCGGGAGTATTTTTGCGATTTCAAAAACTAATTATCGCAATGACTTCAAATTTTCTGGGGTCATTTTGTATTCGAAATACTTTGTACAAATTTAAAAAAATCATATATTGCGGTTGACTGAATTTAGCAAAACCTTTCACATCCCTTGCCTATTCAGAAGTTGACTTTCCACGAATTTTAGAGACAAGACTGTGGTCCTTGCTATATATTTGGGTTGTTAGTCCACTACGCCCCTCACTCACAATGGCGCTTCTGGCAGATCATCTTTCAAAAACATTATTTTCAATTGATCCAAGGCAAGCACTTTCTATGAATTTTCGAAGGAAGATTATAACCTTTGTTATATATTTTGGTAGTTTGTCCACTGATGCCTCCTACTATAATGAAAAAAGGGTAATTTTTCTCACTTCACATAATATGTCGTAATGATTTACAATGTGACAATAATCTGTACCCTAAATTTTTGGGGACATTTCACTGCCCAGACGTGTCAGCCCTTGATTCTACATTATGAAGTAGGCGGCTTTCATCTAGTCCCCCTAAGTTATTAGTGGTAATAGGTGGTAATCATACAGAAATTAATTACAACTACGCGTAAATAATAATTAGCAAAACCAAGGCTATCAGGAATGAAAAGGTTATAAGACTAATTAGATAAACGTGCGGTCGGTCGCATATTTTGCATATTAACAAGAATTATTACAAGTAATTACTAAAAAAAAGATAAATAACAATATCTTTAATTATTGAATTGAGAGGTATAACAAAAATAACATTTCAAAAATCAAATGAAAAAATATAAAAGACATAAAATGAATAATTTATCACGAAAAGTATAAAATTCTTTTTATTATCTAAAGCTGTTTGTATGTGAGCAAACTCTCGATCCTAAAACTAATAGAAAAATATTGCCGTTGAAAATAATCACAGCGTCGAGTCGAAACTAACAAATAAAATTAACACACCTACATAATACAAAACTTAACCGATGTTTTAAAAATAAAACTTTAATTAGGTTTAGTCATGTCATTCAACTGACAAATACTATTTATAACGTTGTTCGCGAGTTGCGTGAAACTGTCCGTCATGCTGTGATCCTGTCTGGGCGGATTTAAATCCGTCAACGATAAATTATTGGTCAAGTTCTCCGAGAGATTGTGAGTATCAAACGCGTTTAATGTTGCCAATTCGCCCGAATTGAGATCGATTTGTTTCAATTCGGTTTGTTGGCTGTCCAAGTCTAATAAACTACTCAGTCCTGTGGGAGGGTCCACACTCATTGCACTGGCACCGAAAGCATTTTGAGCATCACTAACACTAGCACTTATGGTAATCGTGTTCCACGGAGGTAATAGGCTACCCACTGGTGGGAGGGAGGAGGGCGTGTAACTTTCTGATACTGGTAGATTGTAGGTGATAGTGTCCACTGCTTGTGCCTGAACGTACGTGTTCGCAGGGAGAAGAAATGGCTGTGGAGAGACTGCATGGTTGGTTACATACATTGGGCTGACGCCGCCATAACCCTGACCGGCGTAGGGGGAAGGGGTATTGTCTGTAAAACATTGAAGGTTACACACATTTCTGAAAAAGTCGTACTTCTCTTACCTCTGGGTTCTGTTTTCACGTCTATGGAATTTGGCATAATATTGAAAGGCTGATGCGATCCTAAAAACAATCGTCTTCAGTAAAATAAATAAGCTGCTCAATACTAAACGATTAATAGGCAAAGCGTTAAATACAGCGACAATGAAAATGAAATCGTGCACACACACAACACTCAAATTACCTTAATAATCCCCCGCAAGCTAAAGAAGAAAGCTAAAAGATCGAAACAAGATTTGAAGATACAAAATATTGTATATTTTCCAAAAAAGCAAACATACAAATGTATAAAGCTCTATAAATTACAACAGAATAACTTTCCGTGTCAAACACTCTTTAAACATTCTTAACGGATAACTACGAAGACAGTTATAAATAAATAAATAACTTATCAACGAGAAAATATTAACACCAACTTAAAAACCTGACTAGATACTATAAAAACACCAACAATTACAAATCTAACACGTCATCTTCCATTGCCATAGTCGGTGCAAAACGGCACCACCTTTTCGTAGAAAAAAATACTTATATTTTAAAAATGCATATGATAAGTCACTGAGTAAGAAAAGATCTTAATACAGCTGCGCCCCAGATAGGGTAACCGGTATGTGCTCAATTTTAAAAATAGCAAAAATTTTGACGTCTGTCATCTGGGACACACTGTATGGAGACTTAAAACTACAGCAAATGTTCCCAGTTGTAGGCCCAATGTCTATGCATGATAATTAAAAATGATGATTTTCTGAAATGAATACCACCAAACCAGAACGAAAGCCCTTTGCAATCATATACGCATACAATTTAGAAGATGAATAACCGACACCAATTGAAGCATTTAAAAACATAATCCGGAAACTTACTATTTCGCTCTTGATCGCGCAACCGAAGTAAAATTTCGTTTTTTGCGTCTGCCTCAAATTTTGGTCGTTTCGCTCCCACCCTAGAGGGCTCTAAAAATATATTGCAAAGTTTATACAAATACTATATCGTTTATAAATGTAACAAAGGGATTTTACTCAACGATAAATAACATCACAGCGATTAAACGACAACAAAAAAAAAACTCCATCACAGAATTTTCGCTCTCGCTCTGACAATCTGTATTTACAAATCAATCGCGTCTAAATGGCAAAACCGTAAATAAAATCGCCATCTGTTATGTTTTCGAATCTTTCACGTGCGAAAGTGCATTAGAATCGGTAATTATTTTCCCGCCCTCGACCGGCGAGTAGTAGCAGGACATTTCGTCGAATTCGCTTTGGGTCGCGTGCGGCGCCATCGCCATATAAAGCGCGTAGTGTTCCGCCTCGGTTAGGTCGAGGTTCATGTTGAGGTCGTCATTCGCGTTGAGGTCCACGCTAACGGTTTTAGTCAGTGGGGGCGCTTCCGTCTCGGGTATCGCGACGTTCGATTCGCTTACGGTTTTTTTCGGTAAGGTATCCGTTATCAGAATAACGTCGGACGGGTATTGCTTTAGACTGTCGAGCGCCGGCGTCGACTTGCCCTTTTTTCTCGTGAATAATTTCGAAAAAAATCCGCGCTTTTTCGGATTTGGCAGCGTAGAGCAAGGGGTGGGCGGCAATCGTTTACCCGGCGCCATATCGCCGTGCGACTGCGAACGAGGCATGGTAGTAAAGGAGGAGGAACGCGCGATCGGCTTAATCTCCGGCTCGGGCACGAACGGATCGCAGATGTCGGTGACGATCTTTTTTTGACGTTTGGGTGGAAGGGGAGGTAGCTTGTCGATTTCGCTCTCGCGCTTCAATTTAACAATATCGATTAGGGGACTTTGCGGAGTTATCGTGTCGAGTTTATCTGATATGTCAATTTCTAATGTATTTTTAAAGGCCATTTGTAAACTCGTGTAGGTCCGAGTGTCGTCGAAATCTCCGGGGGTCTTGTCGTTCTCTAAGTTTTCCGGGGATGCGCGCAAACGCGAGTCGGAGTATATTTCGTCGAGTTCCGCGACCTCATTGATAAGGTCGTTGAGGCAGGGATCCTCTTTAGACTCGGACTCTTTTGAGCATTTGTCTACCTCCGAGTAGTCGCACCATTCTACTGCACTTTCAGTGACCGGTTCAGATTCGGCGGGAATCTCTACGGTTTCGATTGCTTTATTGTTTTCTGTGATAGAATTAGGTACAATTTGAGTTTTTGCAAGGGGGAGAACGTCGTTAGCCAAGATGCTACTGAAAAGATTATAATTTCCTTTCTTCGCGAGATTACGTCGAAAAGACCAAAACGCTGGCCTACCTGCGTCTAATGGCAGCAATTCGAAGGGCAATGGCTCGCTGGTCGCCGTGTCCGACGGTCTTCTCAACTGTATGAACACTTTGACGGGCTCTGTCACATCCAGTCTTCTGTAGGGAGGTGTCTTAAACCAAATGGCGGTTTGCTTGTGAACCTGCGACGGTTGAAAATCACCGCGCCCTTCCCAGACGACTTGTCCATCCCTCTCCTCGTAAAAACGAATTTCAATGTCCTCTTTTGAAACCTGAAGTGATTTAAATGTAAGCTGCAATTGCTACCCCAATTCCCTATGTACCTTTTCGCAGAGAAGGATGACGTCTTTAGTACCACCGGCAACCGAACTTGTGCAATCGGAGAGCTTCACGATGACCAAATCGCACATGGCCTTTTTGTCGTAGATAGGATCGCTGACAACAGGCGTGAGCGGTACCGTGAATTTGCCTCGGTCGCCTTCCAAAAACACTTGAAAACATAATCTGACCGAGTTCAAGTCTATCGATGTGGGTTGGTTTCGGTGTGAAAATCCGGCTAAAAACAAAAGTTTGAAAAGGAAGACTTAAGAAGAGGATAGCTTACTTCTAAATGGGTCGACGCGAATTTCCTCTCGTACTCTTAACGCCGATTCTATATCCTTCTTTTTGACACACTGTATACCTAAATTGGAGAAGGTAACCGACATGGTCTCGGGCGAAACCTCCAACGTACAAACTCCCTTTTTACATCCCTCACGCCCAACCAAGTTATGCGGGTGAGGCCTACGAGAGGAGATCGGTAAAGTACGGCCACAATCGCTTCGCGCAACACTCACCTGTGCGGCGAATCTTTTGTCACGCAGGACACGACGACAACCGCTCTGCCTTGGTAGCCGACAATTTGAATCGAGGGAAAGGTTTTGTTTTCGGGCGTGCTCGAAACGCCCGGTATGGAACCGGCCGAGCGTCCCTCGCACTCGTACCGGAAGCGTAGCGCTTTCGACGCCGGCTGCTCGATTATTCTCACTCGCGGCCGCACTTGCGCCATGGCCGGGGAACGCGTCACTTCGGGAACGCCGTTGAACATACTGCGCGACTGCTCGAAATCCGGATCTGTCGCGATAACTTCAACTGGAAAGAAAAACGTCACAAATAAGATTTTGCGCAGGCACTGTACGCGTAAATTTGCTAATTCTTGTTGCGCATGCGCGAACGCTAGTGCGCTCAAATTTAGTCCGTTCTCTTCCGGTCACGTGCAATTTTCAATTGTTTTTTACTATCTTTCACGTCTTTGTTTGGTGGATCGCCTGGAAATTACTACCTATTCACGATAAAACAACATCCTTGAAATTTACATACAAAAAACAACGAAAAATAGTCACACGCCAAATCCAAATGCCACACAAATCACAAAGATTGTGACGAATGGATGAGAACTTCTTCCGATTAAACTATCAGAATTTTGCAACCCCTAAACTACAAGTTCCTTGCAAACTGTACGTGGATTAAACTGTTCTGTTGCTAGTACCTCCTATAGTCTTAACGGAAGCTCTTTGGGTTTGCCTACCATGTGAAGAATCAAGCACCGAAGGCAACCTGTCAACTTAAAACTAAGATACTTGTGGTGACCCTGTCGTATTCTGGATGAGGGAATCAAACAACTGCTCGCCCATCCTGGAAGTGAGAGCGAAGTCTACCAGTATTTGCATACAAAAATAAAACACTGTCGAACCTTCAACGAGTTATCAGAATTTTAGAGAGTTAAATCTATTTGTTCTTGATACTCAGCGTTATGTGCTCTTTTTGGGTAAGACAGTAGGACTTAAACTGGTAAAATCAAAATTTGAAGACACTGGATCGCTTAAGAGATACGAGGGAAAATAAAAAATTGTGAATGACACTATACTTTCATTATTCATAAATAAATACAGAAAAATGTGATTGGTGAATAATAATCTATGAGGCGCCGTTTGTGTCATAATTAAAACCGGAAATAATGTAGACAAATTAACAAATATATAAACTTTTACTCAGAAATATATTTTCCTAAATAATATATAAGTATATCACTTCAAAAGTGAATATTTTGTAATATGAAAACTTTATATATTTTTGACCAAACTATATATTTTTCGTTCACTGCGGTAAAAATATATAGAAAGAGTGGTTCCACCGGTTCACAGTAGAGGGCGCCACTGGCAGTCGTTTTCCTCCAAATAGAATCTACAATGAATGCTTCGTTGTGGTGTGAACTTGTTTTTTTGGTATGTAGAGGTCACCGGTCTGTGCACCAAAAAAACAAATTTCACACCACAACGAAGTATTCATTATTTTATTTGGTGGAAAACTAACGACTGTGGCGCCCTCTACTATGAACCGGTGGAACCACTCTTTCTATAAATTTTTACCACAGTGAACGAAAAAATATATAAAGTTTGGTCAAAAATATATAAAGGTTTCAAAATATTCACTTTTGATGTGATATACTTATATATTGTTTACGAAAATATATATTATTCTGAGTAAAAGTTTATATATTTGTTAATTTCTCTAATATATTTGTTAATCTGTCTACATTATTTCCGATTTTAATTATGACACAAACGGCGCCTCATAATAATCCTTCGTTTTTATAATAAGTATACGGGGTCAGGTGAAAAAGTTTATCAAACCTTACGTAATTGTTTGTAATGAAAGACCCTATACACTGTGTCCAAGATACGGATGTCTATCATGGGGATCTCCGAAACCGTAGAAAATACGCCCACGGTCAAATTAGAGAAAATATGCGCAATTAGAGAGTGAAAACGGTTGGTTCCAACAGAATGGTGCACCCGCGCACAAATCGGACAAATTTTTAAAAAACGGAAAAATTCTCAAATAAATATTCTCACACGATTAAAGCGTTGTGCGCGGGTGCACCATCCTGTTGAAATTGAAAGCAACAGAGATTCCAACTTTGGTTTTTTTTGTGTCGTATATCGTTGTATTCTTAATAATACCGTCTGGAGATTTTCAAATTAGTGGCTCACTAATGGGATTTCCGTAACGGTGAGATATACAGTGTAGTTTAAGTGGGGCCAAAGTTGTGACGCAAAAAACGCATTTGAAGTTTTTGAAAAATCATTGAAAATGACTAAGATATCGCAGAAAAACTGAAAATGTCACATTTTCACTTTACCTAGTTTAAACGGTGAGGTGGGAAATGGACGGGTCACGTTAGCACCTTTTCTGGAAATTTTTTTTCGAAGAATCAGAATCTGTTCTCAGAATTTCCATAATACGCGACATCTATTGCAACTGTAGGCTAATACATTCTTAGTTTTTATGGACGCCATATTGAATTTGTACGGAATGAGATAAGAAGACAAAAAATAAGTTCATTTAAACGACTTGCCATCATAGCCATGTTGATTCAGCAAGATCTAGTTACCCGTGGATGTTTTTTTAAACAAATATATGTAAAACATTCGATTTGGAAGTATTTCTTGTAAATTTATGTAAAAGTATAGGACACGTCATTATTTTTCTTTTATTGGCCTCTATCTCATTCCGTAAAAATCCAATATGGCGTCTATAAGAAATAAAAAACTAGTATCCTGTAGCTTCTCTCGTATCTTCATCTAAGCGTGCTGTGTGTTATACAAATCTCCGAAAGATTTTTCAAAAATTTCAAATTTTTTAGTCAAAAAAGGGGACAATTTTGGCTCCATTTAATCTACACTGTATCTGTCCCCGTTACGGAGATTCTGATGGAGATTCCAATGGTGAGCCACGAATTTGAACCACCCTGTACTTTTTTACGGGCCATATAAAAATACAGTTGGTAATGATTTCTCCGATACGAAACGTCGTATTGAAAATTTATCAACGGTGTCTTATAGAGCTCAAAAAGTGGGCATGAGAAAGTATTTTTTATTTTTTTTGTATCTATTCAAATAACATCAGAAAAAGTAAAAACGAGATCTCCGTTTTTTCGAGCATATCTTCGAAACTAATCAGAATTGTCTAGTTTTGTTTAAAGCATGATAATATCTCTATAATTGCCCATCTTTTGTTTAATTTGACCATTGTCGTATCTTCTATGGTTTCGGAGATCCCATCGGGCATCCTTATCTTGGACACAGTGTATATTTCAATCTACAAAAATAGCATATTATATTCTATTTTTAAAAAATCCGACACAATAAAGATTCAAAACAATTAAAAATATTTTAAAATTTAAAAAAAGGTTCAAATGATTAAAAATTTTTTTTAAATCTTTTTGAATGAATATTTGTTTAGTGTTATTTTTTTAAAGAATTTAATATTCTATTGTTTCAGATAAAAATATACAGGGTGTTCCATTTGAAAAATGAAGTTTAGGTCCGATTACTTTTTCAATCGGCCCTGTATACTTGTTTGGAAAACGGCAGAATATATAGTCATTCTGAAATTGACAATGTTTTGAATTTTCCCCGTAGCTCTTAACCGAGGGAACATGTTCAAATGTTAATTTTACTATTTTCAGTTTGACCCAAAAGGACACATATTACTCTTGATAGCACTCACAATTCCGGAGATACCCTAATAGAAAATGGGACACCCTGTACAATGAAAAATTCATAAACGAAAGTAAAATTGCTAAACACTCGTTGGGTTTACAATCCAGAAACTTAAAACTTATCTTAAACGAAAACAATTGACACAGCAGACTGTTTAATGACCCATACGTGCAAATCTCAGTCTATTTGCATTGAATTCTCACGCATACAGGGTGTAAAGTAAAAATAGTAAAAAATTACGTAATAGAACATTTTTTCGAGTAAACCAAAGATCCAAAACGGTTCGTTTGGGAATTTCGTCCCGAAAAAACCCAAAATGTGCAGTTTAATCTCAAGTTATTGACTTCGATTGTTTTCATAAACAACCACCACCAACGCGCCTTGCTGGGCGGGGCTGTTTCTAAACAAAAGCACTATGTACCTTTCATCTTATACATAAATACAGTTTATTGTTAAAGTCACTAAATATAGAAAGTACCGCTATCCATTGGGCTCGTGTGTTAGAGAGAGAACGCATGATTTTTGCCCAAAAATGGCGGAAGTTACAAGATTTTAGTAACTTTAATGTTAGGGATTGTTCCACTTTGGAGATATCTGTATATATTTTTATAAAACATGACAGTACTATGAAGTTAGGTTATAAAAATGTCAGCTATTCAGATTTTATTTGTCAATTTTTTTAAGTTGGCAGCAAATTTGCCCAAAAATGGCGGATGATTGCGGTACTTTCTATATCTAGTGACTTTATTTATTATGTAGCACGAGTATTGCGAACGGCCACTTTACGAAAAACTTCAAATGTCCGTCCGTCCGTACGTTCACTCAGAATTTATGAATTTATATTTAATATACTGTTTTAAATTCACAAACAACCAAAAACACAATAGAAAAAACAATACGTTACACGCAAAGCATACGTCATTAAATCTCCTCCTGGTCCATTCCCTTCGGACCAGTTGTAATAAATCGCGTAGAACCGGTAGCATTTCCTGATTTTGTCATATGACTAATCCAACACCGCAGACACTAGGCGAATTTGAAGAAAGTAGCTACAATGGGTCCCAACTCCCAATATGAGGCCTAAGTGCGCATGGACGAAATCTTCAAAATTGAAGAAGTAGTTTAAGGGAAGATAATTACAAAAGTAATTCCATGGTAAATTCAGTTTAAACCCATTAGGTAGTAAAATACCTACATGGCTAAAAGCACAAACACTAAAAATGGAAAAGGCAAAACAGTCCAAAAGCGCTTTGCATGATGACGAAGATCATTTTGGGAAAACGCAGCTAGATCACTGGACTTTTTACGGTCAAAATATCTTTAACTATTTTTATCGGCTATTTCTTTACTAAACCTAAAACGAAAAAAATTAATTAACATTAACCTTGAAACAGTTCAATAATTATTATAATGAGAGTGAACAGCGAATTCAAACATCTTTGGGAAATTCAAAACCAGTCCAAATCGGTCTCATTTTTCCCGCAAAGGCCATTGCCACAGTAATTGATAAAAAACCAACAAAATTATATATAAGAATTGTAAAAAGACCGAACCGTAGACACTTGCACTGGTACGTTTTAAAATGCGTTAGAAACAACAAAGCAAATAGAGAAAACTTACCAGGAATATTTGGAAGCGCACAGACACGACTGCATATCAAAATTCAAACGGGTGGCTGGAATTTAAAGGCATTGATGGTGGTGGGGTCGTGGAGCACGGTGATAAAGACCAATCGGAAAAGCCGAAAGTCACATGACCATACCCTCGAGAGCCCAACCAATGGAAAAACTTGGAATCTTCCATTGGCTTGTGCCAAGACATTTTTACTTGCGGAGGAGATCAACGTCGCACTATTTTGAGGAAGTTGATCTTCATGCAAATTCTGAATGAAAAAAAACTCCAAAAAACATTTGATTTGGATTTCGTCTTTTGTAAGATGACAAAGTCCAACTCCGATGATATTTGTACCATTTCCCAAAATGGACATTTGAATAGCGCGCCTAGGGTTAGGATTCGCCTGCATCAAAGTTTTACGCGATACTTCAACACAATAAAAAAAAGTTGGTAGTACAATGCAACTGGTTTTGCCTTGAATAAAACTGGCAATAATATAATGATGAATCATCCTCATTCCACTTAGGTATGTTGTTAAAGATCGCCGTAAAAAAACTGCAAATGTTTTGGTTCTCGTGACGTATCTACTAATAGTTCTCTGGGGTTTGGAGGTGTATGTATTTTACAAATTTAAATTTACGCGTCCAACTGCTTAGCATTTAATTACTTAATATAGTTATTCAATTTGCATTTCTCATCCGCAATTATCTTGTTTTGAATGTAAAAACTTACACGCGCAGTTATGTTTAAAAGGCCATCAGTAATTTAAGTATTTAATTAATAATCATTTACAAAGGTAATATTATGATTCAAATACAGTGTGTCCTAATTTAGGATTAAATTGGTAACTTTCTTATTGTTGAACATAAGAATTAGGTTAAATGCAGTTTTGTCTAATGATAAATTCCGTTTCAAAAAATCAGATCCGATTAGAAATAATCAAATTATCAAAACAAATGCCCATCTCTATATCTCAATTATTATAAAAACTATAACAGAACGTTTAGTAAGACAGTTTCTAATTTCGAAAATACAGATCAATAGCAACTTGCTTTTAACCTCCTCCGAAATTCTGCTTTCGAGATATTCGGATGTAGAGTTTTGGGCCCCTCCGTCCAGACCTTCGATTTTCAATTTGGGAGTACCCCCTTCCGACTCCCCGTTTCCGTTATCCCTTGACAGTGCCCACTCTGCAGACTCCCTCACAAAAACATATCCTACGACACCCATATTGCTATAGATTGCCTGCGAAACAATTGTGACTATTGAACTCGTACAGTCGTAGGAGTCATGGAATCACGCTCAAAATGGAAGGTGCACATTCTCGATAGATATACTACAAAATGGCGACTCAGGTTTGAAAAGAAGTTAAGCCGGATGACCAAAATCGCAAATAACGTATAAATAACCTAATAAACCCAACAATTTTAAGAATTTGAAAGGTCTGAAGATCTGACGAATAGGAGGAATTTCAATGGGAAAACAATTGAAGAATTAAAAAAAAGCTACGATGAGTCCAAAGTGTGAGAAGAATTGAGAGTAGAAAGGAGCTAAATTGAACATAGGACCTGCAATGAAAAATTTGTAAAAGTCTGAAGACTCCGAAGAAATGAGAATCCAGTCACGCAAGAGTTTGAAATGCCCGACGAAACGAAGATTCTTGCATCTCTTTATTGTGAAAGTTACCGATTACGGTAACGATAACATCAATTACGTTAGAAAAACGCCCAAACACATTACCTCAGCGCCCAAGAAGTGAACTTCATGCGTTTTTTGGGTGACCAAGTGTACTTTGACCTAACGATCGAATCATTTCCAGGTTTACTGATCTATCACTATTTTAGATCGGCAGTTGGCCCAAGCGTATATAAAATTTCCCTGTCAAGAAAAAAGTTCGAACAGGTGAAAATCCATGGCCCACGTGAAAATCGACACTTAAACAATCCTTTATGCTTTAATTTTTTGTAACATCTACACACGAAAAATGATAAAGAATTTGTGTGTAATTAACAAGCAATTTTTGAAAATAGCCCCACATTCTGCAGTGTTCCTTGCGAAAAAATCTCAACGCGCGCCTCTGGACAAGTAGGTGCAGTCGGCCAGTTCGCGTCTCTACGGAACGTTTTGATTGCAACTCGATCATTTTCGGTTCGACTTGTTTCGAGATAACGTATCGCTGTTTATTATGGCTAAGAATTCGATAAGTATCTTCTAGATAATTGTGCAAGTTGGACGAGAGGTTAAAGACCGTTAAAAGTTTCTGGAACGGGATGGCCTAAATAGTTCACGCCGATTTACGAGATGGCGCAAGAAACAAAAGAGTGATAAGATACTTACTGACATCACTTATGTTGAGATTGTCGTCGGTTAGTCCGGCGGCGGGATGCTGGGGCGACTCTAAATTTAAAAAAAAAATTAGCACGCAGTCAATTGCGAGTACCTAGTGCGGTTATTTTATCTTACTAATTTACCCCACAAAAAAAAAGGTTTCGCTACAGCCAACCACAGCCAACTACAACTACTAAAATTTGGGTAACAATTAAGATAAATTAACCGAAGCAATTAGCGACAGTGAGTGTGTGATAGATAAGTGAGGGTCGGTGATATGTATTTACTTAAAATTAGTCTAATTAAGGTAAGTACTACATAATTGTTAATCCGAAAAATAGGTGATTAACGAATTGGTCGGGTTTGGAGCAAACAAAATGCCGTGCCAAAAATGTTTCCGTTCATTCACCGATAAATTTAGAACGGCTTTAAGCGAGATCGTGCAACCAACGAACCACAGAGAGACGGCCAGTTTCATTATCTTTTTGCATGCAGTTTGTAGCACAGAGAAAAAGGCAAACAAGACACACAGTATAAATCTACAGACCTAGCCCGTGATCATCCATGATTATTTCGAATGAGCGACCGCGCTTACTGGGATGATCCCTAACAAAAAAGAGTCGCTTTTAGACGTATAGGCGCAGTTTGTTATACGTATCGTTGGAAAAAAATGATATGAATCAATGCCCATTTAAGTTAGTGATAAAAGTGCCGACCATACCTTAAGTTCCATCATTATGCGCCAGTCGTACTTAGTATAGTATCAAGGTCGACGATTAATGACAGCACCAACAACACTAAACAGATAATAATCAGGAAACTATAAATAAAACAAATCCGTCTGTGATTGATTTTCACCAAAAATCGCGAACGGCGAAACGCACTTGGCATACACGAAAACGGCACAAAACTTTCAAAGAGCAACTTCGGGGCGCACACGAAAGTTTATTTCGGGAAACGGTGATCGAACGACTTTTCGCAGAAGCAGCTACTAGTGAACTAAGGCCCGGGGCGCGTGGAATGAATTTAATTCCTATCACGTGCTGGAGATGAGAACGAGACGGCGCAGGTTCGCGTTATTGAAAAGCGCGCGCGACGATTGTGGTCGCGTTGCGGTCCAAAGAATAATAACCGCAATGGAACGACCCGCACTTGTTTTATTTAACCAAAAACTTGGGCTTGCGTCGACTGTCATTTTTATTTATCTGAATGCGCCTCGTAGATAGTAGTGGTGGCACTTTCTCTTTCGACAATTTACGTCAATAGGCCTCTAATTGCCGCCGTACGCGCGGTGCGTTCGAAATTAGGCGAATACCGCCAGCAGTGGAGACGGGAAGTCTGTGCGTGATAGCCACCCTTTCGATTGAAATGAGTTATTAATGATACCCCTACTTTGAATGGCGCCAAACGAACATGCTTCCCCTACATTTTGATGACAGGTAGACAATAGGTAAATGGGACAGTAAAATAACTATAATGCACTAAGAGCAACAGAAGTAGTTTACAATGATTCATCCACTGAGTTTCCTTTTTTATGTGAACCAAGAGCAATAGTAATTAATTTATGCATGGCGTTTCTTAATTATAATAAACGTTGATCAAAGATGCATGGCGTGCAGTGGCGTAACAATCGCGTACCCCACGGGATTCTGACTGTTGAGCGTTTGTTTAGACCGAGACACGCCGTAAGAAGTGAGCAACAAAATTTTGATTCAGATTTTAGGTCACGTCTAATATTAATTTTAAGTAGGTACCTAGTGCAGTAAAACTACTCTTGTGACTAAAGCCCGTTTGTAACGATCACTTATTTAGTCAATTTTTAAATCATTTTTTTTAGGAACAAAACAATTGAAAATTTCATACATCAACTTTGATCAATTTTTTGGTAGTTATTTTAGGAACTGAAAGTTGTCCTATTTTTGTAATGTTTAGAATCTGTCCTATTTTCCCTCAATTTTTTTGTAACTTATTAGACAGACAGATTATAGGGAATTTGTAAAATTAAAATTAAATTTATATTCATTTTTAAAGGTCACTATTATACGTTGACAGTAGATAGAGACCTTAGTTTAGAGAAGATAAATATTTAGTCTCCCAAATGTCAATATTTTACTGGTACTAAAAAATTGACAATATTATGGAATGTTACATACAATTTCATCATTTATGACATTTTTAGGATAGCATTATCTTTATTGAAGAAAAAAGGACTAAAAATTTGACTAAATAAGTGATTCGTTACAAACGGGCTTTAAACATAACAATTTCACATGACCGATACGCTTATCTTTTGTTGCTCACTGCTCACTCGTGTACGCAAATCTCAGATTTGCACTTGAAAAAATCACTCACGGAAATATTCGCCGGCTGGAGTATTGACGCCCGGCCCAAGAAACTCACCAGGAATAGTCGACTCGGGCACCATAAGGAAGAAGAAACTCGACTAGGAAGATAATAAAAGCTCGCTGTTAGAAAATTCGACCTTCCCTCAGCAAATTTACGTTAAGGAAAATTGTGGTTCAAGAGCATTTGCGGTTTTGCTTGGAATATATTGAATTTTCTTTAGAAACGAATATTTCCGCTGCGAGGAATTTTTAAGAGGCGAAAATTCAGGAACAGAGAACGAATTTGCCTATACAGCAGGAGCTCTAATTATTAGGATCTAGAATCTAGATCCCTCCACCGCGAGAAGTTACTTCCCCTTTCCCTCTTATTTTATTATAGCTACCGAGGGGTCTCTCACTGCCCGCAATATGTGTACACATTTTGTTTTTGCACTGTACAGTGTCTAGCAGTGTTCTGCAGTGTGTTGCAGTGTGCCACAAAGCGTCACAGTGTGCCACAGTGCATCGCAGTGTCCCATATTTCCGTCCACAGTGCCCTTCCGAATGCCGCAGTGTAACGCCATAAATTTATTTTATGATTGTGCGCAATGTGCTGATTTTTGCGTAATCGACCGTTATCGACGTGTTTATTCTTGCGATTGCGATAGTGATCCTAGAGATCGCTTATAATTTTGTATTGCTGTATGTCTGTCTTCGTGTCTGTCCGTGCGCACGACAACTTTAGAAACGCCCGATCGCTTTGAAAATTGATACACATATATTCTTAAGGATATAAGGGAGGTCGCCATTGTTACAAAGAACATATGAATGTCTGGTTTTTTGTCTTAGTTAGTATACATTCTTTAAACCTCAAGCAACTATGAAAATGAAAACAAAAATTACGCATGCGCAACCCAACTTTGCGCATGCAATGTTGATACATCTGGAATATATTAACAGAGATTAACTATTTATTTTAAACTGGTTTTGTATCAACAATAAATTGATCAATTTCTTGTTCAAATCGCTTTGACAAGAAAACTTGCCGAGTGTAAACACAAAGTTGGATGCAATAACTTGAACAATTTCTTGAGCTCAATTTCTATTTTTCTGACAATTTCAACTAAAATGAATGACAAATGATACACTGACTGATGCTGATATAAAAGAAGAAGAAACAAGTAAAAAGGTTTTCGTCCTAAGGCACGTGACTTTAGCGCATTTTGCATGCACCCGCACGGACCAGTACTCCCCAAAAGCCCATAGCTATCTCTGTATGTTTCTATTTACGAGAAGTATGTATGGTTAAAATTTCAAAGAAATGTCTCCATAGATAAGGAAGTTGGCATTGCGCAATCTGATTTTTGCAATAATAACGGGCGATCAAAAATGAGTTGCTGTCGAGTCGCCTTTGGAAGGTCAAGTTAAGTATGATTTCCCATGGAAACAAAAATTCCAAAGGTAACTCGACAGCAACTCATTTTTAATCGCACAGTATGCGATAGATACCATTACTAGCAGCATCTGTGGTTAAAAATTCAAACAAGTAAAAAGCATCTATGGTTAAAATTTCAAAGACATATTTTTATAAATATGGCAGTTGGTACTGCGCATGCGCACATCCAATGTTTACAATATGACATATGTTGCCTTTAAGAGAAGCAGCTGTGATCAAAATTTCAAGAAGATACATACCTCGATAAATAAGGCAGTTGATATTGCGCATCCTGCGCATGCGCTAATTAATCTGATGTTTACAATATGCGATACGTTTGCTTTTACTAAAATCATTTTTGACGTGCTACTTCAATTTCACAAGAATCCTGCCCTAAGATTTTAGTAGGATTGGTTCACAAATAACGAATGTGGGGCTGGGCATTCGCAATACGTGTTTTTAGTCGCATCGGGTTACGCATGCGCAAAACACATTTAGTTTATTTGGCTTTATTTTACCTTTATTCGAGGTGCCTACATACAACATTTAATTTTAAGTATTTTAATAAATAAAATTGAATTGCGCAAATGCAAAAGTTATCGAGCACAACTGCACACAGAAAGACAGACAGACGGACGGAGACAGACAGACAGTTCAAAATTATAGACGATCTGGAGCATCGTTAATAAACGGAAAAACTGTAAAATTATGGTAGGTACATGAAAAAAATTGAGGTTTTACAATAATTTGTTTCGTAAGCCACGCAGAAAAATTCCTTCCTTGGTGCCTGCCTCGACACCATAACGAACTAAATAGTAAATAGCGGAAAAACTAGAACAATAGCTGTTAAGATAAAAAACTAGTAGCGATCGAACGCCGGTAGGAACGGACAGATAGGCGGATGAACGGACAGTGACCACAATAGCGCATTTTTGTGAAAATGCGCTAAAAAGGTAAAATACAATACTGGAATATTAGTGTTTGAGTAGTCTTATTTTTTTATTATTTAAATAATTATTATTATTCTGTAAAGGAAACCAGAAAATTCCGATAATTTCCGAAAGGCATACCGAAATTTGCCGATTTTGTTTTGTCTGATGCTATTTACAAAAAATAAAAAACACTTACTCATTGCCACTTATTGCGCTCTACAAGACAGCGTTGAGGGAGTTTCAATACAACGTATCCTTTCAGAGGAAATATCATCAGCTTTATTTTTTTATATGGTCCGGAAAAAAGTACATACTGTATTGAGTAGCATTCTTTATTATGAATGCGACGATGAATGGCAAAAAAAGAAACAAAAGTTGGAAACTGTCGGTTTCAACAGGATGGTGCACCCGCACACAACGCCATAATTTTGCGAGAATGTCCAAATTCTTGCTAGAAACAGAAGCGTGTTAATGAAGAGACAATTAGTTTGAGACCGTAGCTTGGGCCGTCATAGCACCAAAATTTGCTGAGGATCCATCTACAGAAAAATTCAAAAAAAGTGTCCCACTTCAACACGTAAATTTTGAAGCTTCCTTTTGGATAGAAATGTCATCGAGACATCGACATAGATGAATGTAAGTTGCAGAAGGATAGTTCCCAATTTGAAGCCACGTGTTCCAGATGAATAGAGCACATAGGTTGTGTAAGTGTATGTATTTTACTGGATCTGGTAGCACATGATTTGTACACATCAAACTATGGACCGAGTAGATGCCTCGCATTTCTATAAATACGTTTCCAACGGGAAACTTCCGGCATTCGATCTCGGGAATTATAAACAATATTAATGTCGGGGTTAAAAAATGTGTGCGTTAAAAAGTGCGGCGCCGAAGTGCAAACTAGACGGATTATTTTTGGCTCGGAAAGTTAGTCGGTCGTAATTTTTAAGTCGACCACTTATTATCCGATTTGATCTTTTCTCTTCGCGGAATATGATGGGGCCTAGGATGATGACAGCATCCCAGACACAACAAATTATGTCTGCGTATCGTTTTCGGACGCGCTGAATCAGGCTCAAAAATAAGCGGCGTCTTTCGATTTTTTTTGCAAACGCCAGTAAGCGCACAAAACCGAAGGGGTTTAATAATAGTTTTACGCAATTATGTATTTATAAATGTATGGGGGAAGTGTTCAGGTGAGTCAGGAATCGTCGCGACCCGGCGCCAGTCATTTAACAGTGTAACAAACTGGTAGACTGGACGCCTTGCCCGGCGTCGTTTTCCCTTCGCGGCGCCAATTACACCGCCGCCGCCTCCTCTCGCCGCCCCGAAGACTACAACAACAGTCCGGCCCTGCGTCCCGTGGGGTACTTAATAATTATGCAGATATGCGAAAATGACGTAATTAGCGTCGAGATAAAGTGGAGTAGATCGCACG